CTTCTTCTCCTTGTCCAGATCTATTCAGCCCCCAACAATCTTCTATTCATTGAACGTTTTGAAACTTTGCACTTTTAGAGAGAGGTAAGGGATTGACTCTGTGTACACAAATTTGCAGAGGGACAATAGGCTTCAGGTCTGTTATTTCTCACCTCTATATGTTATTATTTAAAAACATTTTTCTGCAAGTGTGTTATCTCTGGAGACACATCCACAGTTTGAGAACTGCAAAACTAAGCATCTCTGATGGTATCTTCTAGACTTAGCACTGAGTCCCATTGGGTAGATAGAAAGTTTAAACTAAATAATCTATACAGAAGCCCCTGGAACCCCATAAGATCAGGTCCCTAATCCATGAACTATGGGAACTCATTTACAAAATATTAAACATTACATGACTATCGTCTCATACTATAGAATTGATAATTCTTCTTTAGATGGATTTTTTTAATTTAAATTGGATTTTTTTTATATATATAAAATGCTTTTTGAGGAAAAAACCTAGGTTTTTTTTTTTTTTTTTTAATCATTGATTTTTATCCACCCTGCTGGGCCTGTAGTGGCCAAAAGGCTATGGGATCACCAAAATAAAAAGGGCTGAACATAATCTGACTAGAAGGCAAAGAGAAGTAACTGGAGCAGTCATAGCCAGGGTGTGCTGAAGAGCCAGAGCCGCGTAAGTGTGACTAGGGATCCTTTTTTAGGGCTGTCAAGCAATTCACAGTGTGATTAATCGCATGATTAATTTTTAAACAATAGAATACCGTTTAAATATTTTGATGTTTTCTGCATTTTCAAATATTAATTTCAGTGACAACACAGAATACAAAGTGCAGTGCTCACTTTTTTTATTACAAATATTTGTGCTGTTAAACAAGAAATAGTATTTCAGTTCACCTAATACAAGTACTGTAATGCAATCTCTATCATGAAAGTTGAACTTACAAATGTAGAATTATGTACAAAAAATAACTGCATTCAAAAACAAAACAATGTAAAACTTTAGAGTCTACAAGTCCACTCAGCCAATCGCTCAGACAAACACATTTGTTTACATTTGCAGGAGATAATGCTGCCCACTTTTTGTTTAAAATGTCACCTGAAAGTGAGAACAGACATTTGCATGACACTGTTGTAGCCAGTGTTGCAAGATATTTACGTACCAGATGCGCTAAAGTTTCATATGTCCTTCCATTTTCAACTACCATTCCAGAGGACATGCATCCATGCTGATGATGGGTTCTGCTCGATAATGATCCAAAGCAGCGCAGACCGACGTATGTTCACTTTCATCATCTGAGTCAGATGCCACCAGCAGAAGGCAGATTTTCTTTTTTGATGGTTCAAGTGCTGTAATTTCCGCATCGGAGTGTTGCTCTTTTAAGACGTCTGAAAGCATGCTCCACATGCTGTCCTGATCAGATTTTGGAAGGCACATCAGATTCTTAAACCTTGGGTTGAGTGCTGTAGCTATCTTTAGAAAGCTCACATTGGTACCTTCTTTGCATTTTGTCAAATCTGCAGTGAAAGTGTTCTTAAAACGAACAACATGTGCTGGGTCATCATCTAAGATTGCTATAACATGAAATACGTGGCAAAATTTAGGTAAAACAGAGCAGAAGACATACTATTCTCCCCCAAGGAGTTCAATCAAAATTTAATTAACACATGTTTTTGTTTTGTTTTTTTTAAAATAGCATCAGCATGGAAGCATGTCCTCTGGAATGGTGGCCAAAGCATGAAAGGGCATATCTGACACGTGAATTTTACCTTGCAATGCCGGCTACAAAAGTGCCATGCAAACGCCTGTTCTCCCTTTCAGGTGACATTGTAAATAAGAAGCTGGCAGCATTATCTCCCGTAAATGTAAACAAATTTGTTTCTCTTAAGGATTGGCTGAACAAGAAGTAGGACTGAGTGGACTTGTAGGCGCTAAAGTTTTACATTGTTTTGTTTTTGAGTGCAGTTATAGAACAACAACAAAAATCTACATTTTTAAGGTGCACTTTCATGATAAAGAGATTGCACTACGGTACTTGTATGAGGTGAATTGACAAATACTATTTTATTTCATTTTTACAGTGCAAATATTTGTAATAAAAATATAAAGTGAGCACGGTACACTTTGTCTTCTGTGTTGCAATAGAAATCAATATATTTGAAAATGTAGAAAACATCAAAATATTTAATACATTTCAATTGGTATTCTATTAAGTGTGATTAAAACTGATTAATCATGCTTAATTCTTTTGTTATCCACAATTAATTGACAGCCCTAGGGTTTTTTGTTTGTTTTTTAATTAGTTGGTTGAGGTGTCAGGTTTCAAAGCTAAAATCTAAGACAATAGATTTGCTAATTTGATAAATGTTAATCAATATTGGAATGGAATTTAATTAGGATAAACCCTTCTTTATTGAGTCTGGGGAATGCTAGCTTACTAACTTCAATGCCATGTTCTTTTCAGGGTTATTTTTATCTTGAATGCTACTCTTCAGATCAGGATACTTAAGCTATGTCTACACTGCT